ACGCATAGACCCCAAAGCCTAGACCCTACAAGCCCTAAGGCCCCTAGACCCTAAACCCTATAAACCCACAAACCCCAAATCCTAAACCCTTAAACCCTGACCCTACTCCCTTAAACCCCTAAACCCTTACATATTTCTTCAAGGAATCGTGCGGTCAATCCTGGACCACGGCGTCTTCGTGGACATCGGGGCGGAAGTCAACGGTTGGCTCCCTACTTCCAGGCGGGCTGCGGTTGGGTAGTAATATAGGGAGACCTCTTTGGGTTTGAGGGGTTTAGGGTTTCAGGGTTTAGGGCTTTGGGGTTTGGTCTGTAGGGGTTTAGTTTAGGGGTTAAGGGGAGGCACATCAGAGAGACCTCGTTTAACGAGGGCTCAACCCTACTTCGGGCTCTCTCAAAAGGGACCTTGCTGAGAGGGTTTATATTTTACGGATTACTCCTACAGGAACCCCTTAACCGGGATCGGCTTAAGAATCCTTCAAAGCCCAACTGTGGGAAAAGCCCTAAACCCCCAAACCCCTAAGCCCTCAAACCCCTAAACCCCTAAACCCTTAACCCGTAAACTCGATGGCATCTGGTCAGGCCTTTGGTTCCACAGCTTCAGAAACGGCAGCTTCGTCACCTCCATCACGTGATGGCGCCGAAAATGTCGCCTCTGGGCCGCGATTGATTGAAGCCGTCCTGCCGCATGGGCTGAGTCTTACCGGCGGAGATCACATCGGCCTCCTGTCTGTGGCGTGTTTTTTAGTTTTCACCATGCAGAATGTTCCGGAGCGTGAAATCCGTGCTCGCGAGACTGTGGTTGGCTTCTTCGATAAGCTGCTGACAGCTGGACTGCTCTATCCCAACTTCAGACTGGGGTTAGTATGACGCTGTGGGAAAGATCAGTGACCCAGGCCGTGCGCGACGAGCAGAATGGAACCGGGTCGATCCGTACCAATGGGCGGTGTTTGTTGCGATGACGGAGGAATATATCCAGCCAACGTCGTTGATCAACATGATCCCGAGTCATGGAAACATGTTGGTTTCAGAGGCCAGGATACCTCCCCTGTGCAGTGGAATCTCAGCGACCGCAACCACGAGGTCTTTAAACCATCGCACCGGCCGTCGCGAGCGACCTTACTGATTGTTCATTTTCTTCCTTGGCCACATTCTTGCCGGAGCATAAGTCACCGCCCTAACGGCATGGTATTTTGGGTGCCGTTTAAATGCCGTCTCATTAAAAGTGACTGCCCTGACGGGATGGTAGCGGCATCAGCTCTTTGCAGCTGTGGGCGAAACAAGGCCAGCTCAGTTCAAGTCACAAAGTGATGACGCTACGACGGTCGAACGACTAGTCTTTCCTTCTATCTGCCTTCGCCGCTGCCGTTGCACTTAGATGCGCGAGGAATGTATTTAGTAGCAGATGTAGTTAGTCGTACGCCAATACCGTCATTTGGCTCACGGAAAGTCTGTGTGTTCTGCCTGTACACGTAATGGTGTATTTTCAATAAATTGAGTAACAGCGCAGGAAAACAGCAGGCATAAAACCAGTATTTGAAAATGGCATTCCTTGCATTCAAACGTCGGGTCAGTGGGCAGCCTATCAAGGTGCCTTGCAGTAGCCTCGAAGCTTGATTTCCTGCCATCTTGGTTCTCCAGGGATTCCGCCTGATCCACGCGTCTGTGCAGTTACCCAAACCATCGAACTTCCAAGCTTTGGTTTAGTGTGTTGTTTTAACATTGAATGACAGCTCCAAAGCAAGACACTCTCAGCAAAGTAGCCTGCACAGTGAGCATTCCTAGGTTCGAAGTACACCATGGGTACAATGATCTTTACTGTAACGCCTCGTGGTGTTGAAGTTTCTCCATGTCGGCGAGAATCCGGAGGCTGGGTGAGAAAGAGTCAAGATGTGCCGAGTAAATATGCGCCCGAACAGCTTTTAAGCACAACAGCACAGTGCGATTGTCAGGCTTGCTGAACCTACCTGCTCCCAAGGTCCAGCCCAACCGTTGGCCCCGACGACCCTCAGAGGTGCCTACTCCGTCTGTTGTCATTGCGTGATGGCCAAAACCAGCTCAGCCACAGCAATGTTGGCAGCGAGCATTGCTTGCAAGTTTCCACGGCACTTGATTTTTTTCGTGCTGTTCAGCAGAAGACATCGGCGTTTAACGATCACGGAGTGTCCCCAGGCCTCCTTGGAGCCTTCGTGTGGATTGAAGCCTTCGTTGTCGATCGTGCTGTGATCGATTCTACCTTGTTCGGGGTCTGTTTTGAATCGGTTGGATGCTGCAGCACATGTTTGCAACGTCGAACTCGCATGTCAGATCATGTCCCTTTCTGCGATTTCGCCAGAGCTCTGGTTCCGACAAAGATAGCTGATGTCCTGCATGCCTGCTGGAATCGTGCTTCACTAGCCAAAGCTATCCAGCTTTGACGTGAGGTGCTGGTGTTATGGTTGGTCGATCACCCTTCCCCAAAAGCCGAAGCAATATATCGGGGATCTGAGCGCAGCAGGGGGGACCCCCACCTCATTTCGTAGGCTGCTTTCTCGATTAGGAAAGGGCGGCGGGGTGTGGGGGAGGGGTGTGGTGGGAGTATGAGTACAACAAACAGCAATGCAGCTAGCATTCTAGCATTCGGCAACATGGCCGCAGGGTACATCTGCGCAACTGAACACAGCAGCAGTGCCTAAGACTGTTTCACGTGCACTGCAGGCATCTTTTCCGACTCATCGTTGACACCACCGACAAGTTTGTAGGATTCCGATGAACGAGCTTTGCCACGGTCGTTCAGTGTATGCTTAGGTCTTACGACGCTGCATGCGAAGTCAATTTCTAGGTCAACCTTGATTGGATAGCCACTTGCCTGTTAGTCTTCGGCAGCATACAAGGAGCACTGCATCTGGCATCACTCATATTCGCTTATCAGCATCAGCTCGCATCTGCAATGCACTGCCACGCCGTCGGTCCCCCTAGCTTTCGTCCGTTCTGCTCCCAAGTTGACACGTCAGCAGGCACCTGGCAACCATGGCTCAATGCTCGGGCCAGGAGCTGAGAAATTTTGCAAGCTTAAACGTGAAATTAACAGACCTTTCGTGCGGTCGTCTCGCGCAAACCTCCCCAAACTCAATGTCACTGCAGGTTCTGGCCATTGATTGTGCAGATGTGTGTTGAGGTCTCTCTGTCTCTCTCTCTGTCTCGGTCTTTCTGTCGCTTTGTCTCCCTGCGCCTGCGTGCGCGTGGTGTGTTGCGACTCCAACATAGACGTGGTGTTTCTGCGAGGAGATCGACTTTGCTCCGGCATTCGGCCCTCAAAAGCCATCTTTGGGGGCACTGACAGCTTCCAGAGCTCAAGAGTCAAGGAATCTCCAGATTTTGTCGTCCGGATAGTCTCGGGTTCTTTGCCTTGTTAGGGCCGTACGCTTGGGAAGCCTTCTAGTCCTGCGTCGAGGTTCTACTGGCTTCTGAGTGGCTGTTTTGGCGGAGCCTTAACCGGCGTTGGACCACCCGGCGACCTGACAGCCCCTTAAGACTGCCATGCCGACGTGAGGCTTGTTGTTCGGGCTTGTGTGTGCCCTGGCCCCATCCAAACGCGCAAGCCCCTCAAGCCCTGTTTGGTCAGAAAGCCATGTTTGTTGTGTTCCTTTGTCGACATGAAGGGTGATGTCTCTGCTCTGCGCTGCTTCAGCGTCGCAGTGTTTCCATGAGCCTCCTTACACTGAAGTTTTGACCGCTCATCTCCTCTTTCACTGCAATTGTATGCTTATTCCGTCTGCAATCAATCGCTGCAAGAAGCGAAGCTGGAGTTGGCGAATACACCCGATCTGGTGCTTAGCTCGCATGGTTCCGGGTCAAAGCCTGCACTGGAGACCCTGTTGAGCTTCCGCTTATTGGGTGAAGCATAATCGCATCACCTTCCAACCTATGTCTTGCATCGACTCGAGTTCAGGTGTTGCATATTTCGCTGTGATATCACTGATCGGCCTGGCGCTTCTTGCATCTTCTTGCAGGCCGATGAGTGGCCGATTGTTTTTGTCTCTGCGGGACGAAAGAGGGGACGGCAGTAGGGGGCGTGATGGTGAGCGCAGGCACTGCGGCGGGTGCGGTGGGCACGACGGGCGCGAGTGGCAGGGCCGGCGGGCTCGGTGGGGCACCGGGAGAGGCACGGCAGCAGGCACTGCAGGCGTGGCGCGGCGGGCAGGGCGAGCGCGGTGAGTTTACTGAGGCGGTTCGTGCGGCGGGTGTGTTCTTGCCTGTAACAACAGTTCGCCTGTTCCGTCTGCTGCTTGACAACAGTTAATCAATTAACAGTTGACAGTGAAACTGTCCAGCATTTTAGAAAGCAGGATTGCCCAGTGCTCTCCTTGAGCATCCCGCGCTCCTTCGAGGTTGCCGTTTTGTCTGCGCCGCGTTGTTTCAACAGTTGGGATCACCTTGGCCTGAGATTGAAGCCCCAAACCCACAGAACCTCCAGTCGACTGAAGTGTTCAGGCCCCAGCAAGCCCGGAGACGTTGCATCACCTGCGCCGATGCCCCAAACCCCAGAGCCCCCAGAGCCCTCCGAGCCCGAAGCCTCACCGAAGAAGCCCTGATCTTCCAAAGCTTCAGCCTCAACTCCAAACATCCCCGGGGAACCCTTCTTTCGTCGCCGACGCCTTGAGTCCGAAATCGTCTAAGGCCAAATCCGCAGCCTTGAACATCCCCAACCGGCTACTGCTGTGCCAACTGCGTGAGCGGATTAGCAGTTGAAAAAAGGATGCCTGGTGCAGCTGTTGTGGAGTGATCATTGCTGCCTGGAGTGGCTGCAGTCTATGAAGGCGGCTGGTTGCTGCATGTTGGAACCGTATAACAAGTTGCAATTGCCTGTTGCTCAGCCTTGCACATCTTCTGAGCGATTGAAACTGCAGTTCAGCGACATGAAAGATGCTTCGTCAGCAGCTCTTGAACCGCGATAGATTGCAGCAGTGAGTCTAGGAGGCAGATACAAGACGTTGAGAAACTTGCCCGTCTGAATGAGCGATGGTGGGTAACCAAGAAGGGTCCAGCGAGGCATGGACTTTCCAGCGGTGCACGGATGCACTTTTGTGTACATGCGCGGGCTGCTGCAGATCTCATTATTGAGAGTACATCCCAATGTCGGTCATTGACAAAATGCGGATTTTGCGCAATGTCACCAGCTCCCAGTCCTGCCAGGGCCCCATGTCGCACCTTGAATGCGATGTCAAGAAAGCCCTGGTCCAGAACCAGCTACTTGCAGGAAGATGGGTTGTGGCTTGATCGCGCCGAAGCCTTCGGCAGGGTCTTTCAAGAAAGCCGTTGCTCCGCAAAGAGGCCCAGTTTCCAGTCCCAGTCGTCAAAGACTGCAAAAGTTTTCAATTTTGCTTCGTACGGACTTTCAGTGTCGCAACTTCTCTGTTTGGAGTAGGGTTAGGCCTTGAAATGTTTCCTCCCGCAAAAAGCCGTAGTCTTGGGCTGAGGGCTCTTCACGACCTGCTGGTGCAGAGCGTTGCCCGCCTGAGTTGGCCGGGAGCTGAGACCCTGAAACGAAGTTCAACCGTTGTGCGACCGGATGTTGCAGAGTTGCAAGCATGTGAGACGTCGTCAACCTGTAACCAGCCTAAAACTCACCCCAAAGCCCAAGCCCTCAGACGAAGCCTCTGAAGCAGCCCGTCGGTCTCGACAGATGTCGCCAGATCAGGCAGCAGAGCCTTATCTTCTGTCTGCAAGTGCAGCCAGGGCCTGAAGATCAGCGACCCAGCGAGGGAGGGAGGGAGTTCTCCACGATCCTTGTTTGATGGAAATCGCAGGTTCTTTCATCGCTTCTCACGGCGCGATGCGGACCAGGAGCTTGAGTCTGCAGGCTGCAAAAGGCAAACGGGCGAACCCACTGCCCTGCCACGCCGGTCAAGCAGCAGAAGCCCAGGTGCTGCAAAGCGAAGTCGCCGGCGGCAGAAACATGTGCCGCCGAGGACAGCAGAGTGATTCATGTCAGTCTTGCAGAAGGCCCTTTTCCTCGGCAGTTGTCCGCAAGATTCCGGGGAGCACGGGTTTTGCCTTCCGCTGACGAGTTCATTGCTTTTAGTCCGAGCCTGGCCCTACGATCAACATGAGTGATCCTGGAACGTGCAACGTTGCACAATCACAGGCAAGTCATCCGAGATGGCCTGCATGATCGCAGGAGCTCGTAGCAGCAGAGGGCGGGCCTTCGACTACTGCCGGCCCTGCAGAGCGCCTTGCGCAGCAACCTTTTTCCCGCCACATGTATGCAGTCGCTTGCAGGCACCACAGCCATCGCACTCTGCCGAGGAGCAAGAAAGATACCTCGGACAGAGGCACCGACACTGAAGACAACTTCGATGATGACTGGATCTTCGTCTGTGACGATTCGGAGGCGGACTTTTGTCTTGAGGGATCCTTCACTATAGCAGGCAAGCGGCTAGCTGAGTTTCGAAACTCAGCCAACGGAGGTGGGGGGGGGTGGGGCGGGTGCGACCCAAGTGGAACATGCCATTTCGTGACGGATATCTGCTGTCCTGCAGAAAGGGCTGGGAATCCTCCCTTCTGATCCCAGTTTGCTGTCCGTGCTACCTGCAGTGCGCATTAAATCCGAGCCATTGGATCAATATTGGTAGTCCTGCAGCCCACAACGAGTCAAGACATTTGCAGACCTGTTCAAATCCTCATCCACACACAGTCTTCATGTTTGCAGGAGCCTGTGGCGACGGAGGGCGGGCCTCTAACTCCTGCGGCACTGTGGCTGCAGCCTCCGATCTGCCACCAGAACAGCCAAGCAAGCGGGGATGAAGCATCGGATGAGTCTCCCGCCGCAGAGGCGGGCTCTTCTCAGGTCTGGATAAATATAGCTGGATAGTTACAGCTGCGAGCTGACCCACTGTCTGGAAATCAGTTGCGCGGGGGTTGGTCTCAAAGTGCAGAGGAACGCATCGCAGCGTGGAGGTGATCGGCAGGTTTGGAGCCCAAATGGCGGAAGCCACGAAACCCACGCAGCGGCCAGCTGCGTGGCTCAAGCCAAAACGAGTCAACAACTTGGCAGACTGATCGCAGGCGGTGGAGGGCGCGCCTCCATCTGCTGCCGCACTGTGGTTGCAGCTGCCGATCTGCGTAGACCAGCGCGATGTCAGCGGCCATGCGCGCCTCGCTTGCAGCGCTGATCTGCAGGGTGCCTGCCCGTTCTGCATTCCCGGTCCTGGGTCGAGTGCACAGACAGGTCGCAAGAACCCAGTCCCCAAGAAGGCAGGCAGGATGCAGCTTGCCAGACGCACGGCGAGGACAGCACTGCCACAGAGACGTGGGGGAGAGACGTGGAAGTGGCCCTCAAGCCAAAACGAGTCAAGATGTTGGCAGACCCGTCTAAACATTCAGTCTGCATGATTGCAGGAGTCCGCGGCGACGGAGGGTGGCCCTCAAACTGCCGCTGCGCTGTGGCTGCGGCTGCCGAGCTGCCAAGACCAGCCCAATCGGCCAGCGTGGAGCCCGGACTACCGGCGGAGGAAATGACACGAGCTAGTCACGAAAGATAGGCTCCCGTGGGCAAGCTGAGTCTGTCACCAAGCACTTGCAACAGGGGCGGGTTCAGGACCTGACCTGATTTCGGTTTGAGTTTGAGATCACGGTAATTCGTGTGTTAAGCTTTGGGCCTGCGCTACCCTCTCCACAAGTGTCAAGTGCAGAGCATGGGCCCGTTCCCACCAATTCTGTGGAGTGATAATGCAAACAGTGCCGGACAAAAAGAAGCACCCAGGTCCGTGGTGCGACGACATCTTCGCACTGCCCGTTTGCAGCTGGGCATTCAAGGTCTTGGGCTTGGAGCCAGCCTGGAGAGGACTCACTTAAGCCGAGGCGCTCGCAGGCACCGAGGTCGGCGGTGGTGAATGCACCCCCTCAGACCTTCATGTGCCCCTCGGCTTCTGTCAACGGCCTGCTTGTATCGTCTTCCAGTTCCATTCGGCGAAACCCGCAGAGCGCAATGTCTCTGCTGAACAAGCCCCAGGCCAAACCTGTTGCCATTCCTGACCGCTGCTTGGTTGCAAAGTGAGCAGCAGCACAGCTGCAGGGCCGACGAGATACTGCAAGGGTCTGTTTGGCGATCCTTCGTGCACCTCTGTTCGCCACAGGTGCTGGATTTGATGAACTGGCGCCTGCTTTCGCGACGCACCAGAAGCCCCCAGGCCTGCAGTCTGTTCGCTTCTTGCAGGCCACTTCTCGAAGAATGTGCTGCTGCCAGGCCTTGGTCGAACACATCGCCGAGATGGGCAGCATGGACAGGCCCGGAAGGGTCCTGGCATGCTGGACGAGTCGAATCTCGTCTTTGCAAGATTTTGCAGGCTGCAGTCATGACACTTATGCCGGAGCAGCTGGCTAGCAAATGGACGGACGCAGAAATCCTATACAATACTGTTGAGAAGGAACTTTTCGACTGCTCCCCCTGTCTACGACACCGTCAAAACACCCAGCAGCAGTCTGAAAGCCGGCTGCTGGTTCAAAGCGGGCAAGCCCTGCTCCACAGCACAGCTGTTTGCGCAAGGCGTGTGCAGTCCAAGCGTTTGCTGTCGCTCCCTATCTCCATGCACTCTCACACGTGTGAAGCCAGCCACGGAACTGCTTTCCCGCGTCGCGGTCCTTGTGTCGTATCTAAGAATCCAATGCAAATTTTGCGTGCAGGACCACATCAGTCGTCGCTTTCGGAGACATGCTGCGGGTGTTGCCATGCAACCCGCATACATCCTTCGCGGAAGCCTTCGGAGGCGATGCCGAGCAGCGGAAGTTCTACGAGTGCCTCCTGTCTTGTTGAACATGATCTGCCAGTATATGAGTCCTTCTCGTAGTGCAGCAGTCGGCGTACCGACTTCAGCTGACTTTGCTTCATTCTGAGGTCGGTGTTGGTGCAAGGCCCTCGCGTCGAAGACAAAACCGCATTTTGCCGAAGGCCACGTTCGTCGCATTGTTGCCAAGAATCTTCAAAGCTTGCTTTGGCACTGTCGGAGTGAGAATGCGGCTGTTGCTTCTGCCGGAATGACCGTTCTTTTGAACTATGCTGCCGATGGGCTCCCTTTCGTGCAGCAGCCTATTGCAGCTACTTTGCTATCCCTGCTGGAAGATATTATTGTCGAGTCCGACATAGTGGCCAACATGAAGCGGATATCGCAATGCATCGAGGGGCTGCAGATGGTGTTACGCTCGATGGAGAGGCCTCAGCGTCGGAGGTGGGTGTCCCTTATGGTCCACCTACTGTCGGACTCTCGTGTTCGCCGAGATCGACTGCTTTTGCCACTGAACATGCTGTGGGTGGCTGATGACGACCCCAGGACAACTTATAAAGAATCAAGACGCGAGCTGAAGATTCTGGCACACTCTGTCTCAACAGATTCGCAGTCTGAAAAGGCTGACATCATGTGTCTCATTCACAGCAGCTGAAGTCTGCCTGCAAGAGGCAATGATTCTGCTTGATTATGCCGTGGCTGGCTGATGATGACCCCGGGGAAAAATGTGCAGAAGCAAGACAGCAGCTGCGGATTCTGGCAAACTCTGCCTCAGCAGATTGGTGAGTTGATGTCAAGCATCTCATACAGAGCCGCTCACGTCTGCCTGCAAGACCCAGTGCGCCAACGCGCATGAAAGAGGACTGAGCCCGCTCGTCCATGACAGCCATCACTGTTTCCATTGGCATCACCGCCATCGTCATCATCATAGTTGTGTTCATAACCATCCACGCGGTAAGCGAACAAGTGTTGCTGCTTGAAGGCTTAATCAGCGAGGGTCACCAAGTCGGTCCACTTAGACCAAGGGCTACATTGCCTATAGACCTAAACTTAGAGTTTACAGACAGCGATTCGTCCGGATCAGATTTGGGTGGACGACAATGTGACGGCGGTGGCGCCGACGACAAGAAGATGGCAACACCGACGCGGAGATTGAGCATGTTTGCATGAGGAAGGAGGTTTCCCTCAGTTGGTTAGGCTTCCACCTCTCGCCTTTATTATTAATCCCTAAGCCATTAACCCGGAATCCCAACCCCTAAACCCTACACTGAACCCCAGAACACCGTGCTTGGTTGTTCTCCTCCAGCTTTGTACGGCTCGAGGGGTGGGGTAGTGGGGAGTTTGTACTTCAACAGCGTGCTCGAGGGTTTGTCGTGCGCAGGGGCTTCGGGTGCTGAAGTTTTGGGGGTATGGACTGGGCTTCAGTGTCCAGATGGCTACTTCACGGCATTGCAGAAATGCTTGATGACTGTGCTTAGGAGCCCGATTCTGCAAGACTACATGATGCCCTGTTAGGCTCCCAGCAAGTAAGGGCCATCACATTCACAAATCACGAGACCCTGCAAAAGGGTCTTGCAAAAAGAGCTGTGTAAACACCCCCCCCCCCTAAAATCAAATTTCTCAACCATTTGTTGACGCAAAGAGCTTAAGGCCGACTCCGGATCCGAATTGAATAGAGTTCTGCCTTCGTCTCGATCAACTGAATCATCCAGCTCTTTGCAGCTTGCGGTTCAAAGTTGCCATCGAAATACGGAGTTCAGCTACAACGCAACACCCTTCCCCGACAGCTCATATAACCGACTGCGGTGGAGGCAGCAGTGGAGTAGAGTTTGCTCTGTTGGAACTTGCACGGACAGTGTGTATCTTTGACGCTGTTATGAAACTGCCAGGTTCGCCACAGCACGAACAAGTGCCTTGGCTGTCACCAAATCTAGATAGTCCGCAAGCCGGCTTGAGCGTTGTTTTCAAGTCGGCCACCGAGTAGCTGGCCCAGGATCCGCGTCAAGAGTACCTCGCAGGCCAGTTGTGATGAAGCTTTCTTGGGATGAAATCTCAGTGGTTGGACATCGGCTTCAGCTGTGAAGGAAACATCGCTACCTATGTTCATACTTCCATTGAGGTGTCCTGGTGGAGTGTGGTAAACCACCTGAAGACGCATCTGCATTGCGAAGAGGCATTCGTAAAAAAAGGCTTAGCAGGCGCAGACGCATTAGCAGGCGCAGACGCGTTCCGAAGACGCAATGGGTGAAGACGCATTGGAAGGTGCAGACGCCTCAGGAGGCACAGAATGGCACAGACGCATTGTGAAGACGCGTTGGGTGGCGCAGACGCATTGCGAAGACGCATTGGGTACGCGAAGACGCATTGGGGTAGCGAAGACGGCTTCAGGAGACACATTGCGAGGCTACGGTCCACGTAGGCGCGCTGTCACGACATAACAGCCACGAGCAGAATGCGAGGGCAGCTTCACATGCATGACTCGCATGACAGTTTACTGAGCTTGGGTTTCGCAAGAGATCTCAGGGGCTCTCCATCAGTCCAAGCCTCCATCCTGCGAGATCCAATTGTATAAGAGCTCGGATGATGAGATGGTGTGTGCCACCGTCCGTGGGTTGTTTGGTCCACCGGACCAAAGCAACCCACCACCCCCCAACTCCATCTCCATACGTGCTCCTTATTGAGGGGAGGAGCACGCATGGAATGGCATGGAGACCTCGTTCAAAAGGCTTAGAGATAGCGCAGGGTTCCAAACACTGGCAGGTTTTTTCTGAGGGCTTTGGGAGCCTAAGCAATCAACACTCGCAACTTGGAGCCGATCTTTTTTACGTGTTTGTGCTACGGATGGATTAGTTTTTGTTTTATGCTGACTGTTGCTAGCTATTCCGAAAATGAAAATCATCCTCATCACTGCTATTCTTTCTATGCCTGTTCGTCTATACTCCCGCTCGCAAGCAATCCTACGCTAAGGCGCTCGCTATCGCTCGCTAGTCTGCTACCATGCCTTCAGAACCCTTCCACTCTTTGCCTAAGTTGCTTCCCTGGAATCTCCGGTTTCCTGTTGCAAACTCGATCGAACAGCTTTCGGAAATATGGGCTGACCAAAGCCAAAGTAAGCAATAGCCCTTTTTTCAGAAGGAACAGGTCTTGTACCCCAACAAGCCGAACGAGCCCCTCAAAACTGCAGGCTCTGAAATAAGACAACCTGCAAAACATAAACCCTGAAATCTAATCCCTGAAGTGTACCCGAAACCTAAATGCCGACGCCGAAAAACGGACCCTGGTGCAGGCCGACGTCGTGGCTCCTGCGCCAGGGGCCTGCTTCTTCTTCTTGGGCTCGCTAGTCCAGGTTGTGATGTGGGCTTTCAGGGTTCAGTCCTTCGCGGGTTCAGCGTGGCGAGCAGTTTGCACGGTGGCAACGTTTGTAGCCCCAACACAAGTATGCTACAATATCCCCCAAAATCCCATTCAAATGCTGAAGGCCCCGTATTGGAACCGTGGAGATCCGAGTCGTTTTGTTTGGGGATTCCGTGTAAAATAGCAAACGACGGAGAATGATAATGGTTGTCAGGTAGAGCGACAAGAACAAGACACAGGTCAGAGCTTCTAAGGAAACTGAAGGACTAGCTCCAGCCGTGCAGTGTGTGTGGCTGACAGATCTTGGGGAGTCGGAGAAAAGTAGGGCTAAGTGTGGCGGGGTAGTGGTAGGGTTGAGTAGGGTTGTGAGAGAGAGCTCTGTATTACCAAACTCCACACCGAAACCAAGCCCCAAACCGGGCAGGAGGCGCGGTGGTGGGACAAAGTAGGGCTGAGTGGGGCGGAGTGGTGCCGGAGAGGGGTTGGGCATACATTGGGGATCAATTAAAGTACTCTACTAGTACCAAACTCCGCAGCAACACCAAGCCCAAACCAAGCAAGGGGCGCGGTGGTGGGACAAAGTAGGGCTGAGTGGGGCGGAGTGGTGCCGGAGACATTGGGGTTCAATGAAAGTACCCTACTACTACCAAACTGTGCAGCAACACCAAGCATAAACCGGGCAGGGGGCGGAGTGGTGATGGACAGGGGTTGGGCATACTTTGGAGTTCAGTTAAAGTATATTACTACTACCAAACCGTGCAGCAACACCAAGCCCAAACCGGGCAGGGGGCGCGGTGGTGGGACAAAGTAGGGCTGACTGGGGCGGAGTAGTGGTAGGCTTGAGTAGGGTTGTGAGAGAGAGAACAGCCGCTCAAGACAGCCACAGCAACTTAGCTTCTGAGCGCCGCCCTAGCAAGGGTCGGCGGATACACATTGTACGCTGCACCCGTACTACAAAGCACATACACATGTGCCGACACACATGTATATACCTATATCTGCATGTGCTTGCCTACATGTTTGCTGACTGGGCCTGAAGGTCTTTCTGCTCCTGCGTCTACTTGACCCTCTTTCTCCATCTTTGTCTTTCCCCGAATCGACCTGCCATCAACAGCTGCGAGGCTACCTACATCCACCCAGGACCAGCCTGACCCCAAATTGGCCCTCCTCGTCTGAGGCCTGAGGCGCCCCCCGTGCACTGGTTTACAAGGACCGTCCATCGAGTTAAGCCGGATGGCGGAAGGAATGGAGTTATCAGCTCGATGAATCAACCAGGGCGAAAGTGGTAGGATTCATCTCAGATTCCTCTTGCAGACGGTCAAAGCTGCCCTCTGGTCTTAAGAGCCCAACCGCTGGTGCTTATGGAAGGTCATTCTGCAATTTGAGACCTGAGAGTATGATGCAGACGGCTTAGCCATGCTATTTCATTGAATGTGACCCACTTATCCACTCCATGTAACTCCAAGAGCTCTCACAAATCGCGAATCCCACAGCACCGACGAGGACGTGTACACAACATAATCTGAAGCCAAATTCCATTTGTAAGGCCCCCAGACTACCTTGCAGGATTAGCGACGGCCGACAGATCGGACGGCGCAACGGCACGAAGCTCAGGTGTCAACGACGACTTCGGTTCTACTGCCACTGGTAGTAGCAGTAGTCGTAGCAGTAGTAGTAGCAGTAGTAGTAGCAGTAGTGGTGGTAGTAGTAGTAGTAGTAGTGGTGGTAGTGGTGGTAGTAGCAGTAGTGGTAGTGGTAGTGGTAGTGGTAGTGGTAGTGGTAGTGGTAGTGGTAGTGGTAGTGGTAGTAGTAGTAGTAGTAGTAGTAGTAGTAGTAGTAGTAGTAGTAGTAGTAGTAGTAGTAGTAGTAGTAGTAGTAGTAGTAGTGCTGTCACTGTCGGGAACGGGGTGCTTGCAGTCGCCACAGTCAACACAGCGATTTAGCTAGAACTAAGAAGAAGAACGGGAAGACAAGGCTGATCAATGATAAACAGCAGGCTCCAGCCATTGCAACAATGCCATGGTACTTCCCTGGCCGCTATCGCAGTGGGGAGTGTAAAGCCCTCGTATATTATAGACCCCAAAGGCCACTGTTGCCAGAACTCCAATCCATGGAATGCTGAGACCGAGATGCGGCATCGAGTGAGGATCCATCGGCAGGTTCGCACTGAGCTCTCTAAAGGCATGCGTTCATGTTGGAGTCTATGTTCTGTGTCATGGGTCGGGTTCAGCAAGTGATCTTCTGACCCCACGCAGAACCTGAAGTACGTTGTCGGCACGACGGCAGATGCTTACACACCTT